CCTTCCTTCCTTCCTTCCTTCCTTCCTTCCTTCATATAAAATTCTAAATGTAAACATTTAAAAAAGTCTTTTATTTAAATAGGAAAATAGTTTTCATTCTTAAATTTATTATTAATTATTCAAAAGGCTCTAAGGAGCAAATCACAAATACACAACAAAGTGGGAAGGATTTTTGACGGCTGAGGTCGCAGATGCCGGTCAGGTGGCAGAGAGCACAATGCTAGTCCCCTTCAACGTTCACATTTTTTCAGTAATGCTGTTAATTAGCTAGAGTTGTGTATAGTTGCTGTAACTTGTTTTAATGTGCATTAAATTAAGTGAAAAATGAAGAGCCTACAAGGCTGCAATTATTTACTTAAATTCAGTCATTTTCATTGGGCTTTCACATTTCAACTGACGTAGTTAGTATTTAAGGCATTTTGAACTATGCGGTGAGACTCTCCCCACCCTGAAAATCCAGATTAGGATACAAGCACATGTTAAGGGCATTCTGGGTTCTCCCCGCCCTGGAAACTACTTACGTCCTCCTAGGCCGCGAGCCCCCACCATTAAGGACCGCTGTTCTAGACAGTCAAATAATTATTTTTTCATTTTACTTTTAGTAACATCCGATAGTTTAAGCCACTTTGATTAGGGTGATGGGCTGTTGGTCTTGGTTGATGTTGCTAACAACCGTAGTGAACATGTTGAGGTCAAAAGCATCTCCAGTGACACTGAATATGGATAATGTAGACAAGAAATGTAATGTGTACTTCATCAGTCTGTATTGTACTGCCAGGTATTGCAACACTCGGTAACGGCAGTAACACCGGATGAAAGTAATACAACACGTTGCTGTAGAAACAATACCCGTTTAAACTTGATAAATGTCTTTAGTGTGTGTTGATTATTAATATTTACAGAGTAATAAAATGTTTTAACAAAGAAAGCATGATGTCTGACGTTTTGTAGTTGAATATGTTGACAGGGAAGAAACAAGAAAGATAATGTGATGAGCTCTCACCACCAATACATATATTACACGTGGCTTGTTTTTCTATACTCAACTTATTTGTGATAGCAGAGGTTGAGCCTCGGCTCCTGGCCATACCTCTGACCGTGAACGAGTTCATTCTACCTCGTGGGTCCTATCATGCCTATTTTTAAAACTGTGTATGGAGCCTGCCACCACCATTTCACAATTCAAATAATGCAACTTTCTGATCACTGTAAGGCTTTAGAAATAAATCATGACGTCCATATGGCTCCTCATCTTTTACTTTCATCTGTCTTCCCATGTTCATGTTTCCCGCCTCTTGAACAGCTTTCTCTCCACCATGCTAAACTGTCTTAAAATCTTTACGTCACACTCCTATCATGTTTTTGTATAACTGTCTCGTATATCAAGGAGCGCGTAGGATCATTTCCGACCTCATTTCCAACGCCTTGGTGCCCTCATTCTAGGTGCGCTCCTCTCGGAAAGTCCCCGCCTTTCAAGCATACTTAGCGATTTCTTAATTAAATACTACTGATATATGCCATCGTTGGATTTCCTCTTAATCAAATTAACACCTTCACGCTTTTTTTCCTTGCCATCATCTCCCCTTTGTCGTTATGTCTGTGCGATGTACTCGGGTTTGTTACATAGTTGTGAATACGGTAACATCATGTTCAGCTGTTTTATTTTTTACTCTTTGATCATTTCTGTTGGCTGTGTGATGAAGTCTCGTTACGGACTTTTGCAATTTCTCTTAGTTCCCTGATGTACTTGATCAGGTGTAGGCTCCCTAATGGTGCTGCATACTTTATGATGGGTTTAACATGTTCTATGTAGGGTCATGAATGACTTCGTTGATGTTACTGAAAGGTAATCTTAGGCTCGCCAGTCACGCATTCACCACAGCAATTGTTCGGCTGATGTATGTAAGAAAGGTTAGTAACGCACACATGTAGAAAGACTGACAGCGTTATTGACTTCAAGTGACAATAATCAGATTCTTGTAAAACATTACCGAACAACAGAGTCACTATTTCCATTATAGCATTCTCCAAAAAAAGTATTTATAATCAGATGTAGCCTCATCTTCCAGCAGTGAAAGCTGAAGCGCACATTGTGTTAGAGCCAGCTGCTGCAGTAACCTTGACACACTGCCAAGCTAGAACTTCAATCAAACACGGGATGCACCTAGTCATACGTCCCATTCCCAGCACTGAATCACCTCACTTGGGCACTCGCCTCACTGCATAACAATATAAATACTCTCCTTGCACTATATTAAGGGGCATGAAAGAATGTTCGTTTGCTTTTAAGTGGTATGGAGAAAAGTATAATTGTTGCGATATATAATATTTTACTGGATGGAACAGGAAGCCAACGAAAACCCTAGGTCAAATGACCAAAAAGTTCCACGAAGCAGGTTATCAAATGACCATACCAAGTTAATACAAGCAACAACTTGTACAGAAGACATATTACTCCTCATAAAGTTCGTCCGGTTAGGTGATGAGTGCCGTGGGGACCTAAGTTATAACTTGTGCTGATGCATGGGTGAGATCTGAGAGAGGGTGTACGTGCATTGGTGATAATGCCTAGAGAGTTTCGGGAAGTGTTTGACTAGGACACCTAATGTGTTTGTGGAGATGGGGTCAGTGCCAATGCTGCAAGTGATGTGTTTCAAGGGTACGCTCACTTTATCTAGCATCACTAACCCACCCAGAATGTAGTGACGTCGTCCTAATACCAGAAATAGTACTACCACCTTAACCTTCCCCCTTCTACATTCATTGTTTGTTTCCCCTCTTATTTCTCCTGCACCTCTTCCTCCGAATATTCCTTCTCATTCATTATTTTCCCAATTTCTATCTCCATCCTTTCTCCTACATTTATATCTCATTTTTCTCTTCAATTGTGTTAAGCTTCTTCCCGTTCTTTCTTACCCTCCCACTTCTTCCCCACCTACCAAATGCTTTATTCTTAATCCTTTATCCTAGTCTCCTCCTATTCCCATCTTTCTCCTATTCCCTTCTTTATCCTCTCTGCTGTTTTTGCATATTCTCCTAATTCTCATTCCACACTTTCTATCTCCTGCCCTCGCTCTCTCTTTATTTATATATTTTCTTTCTCTTTATCTCCCTTCTCTGAATGACCCATGCGGGTTTAGCGCCCAGTTATGATTATAATAATATCGCCCTTGTTTTATGAGAGATAAAGTTTAAAAAAAACGTGTTAGAGAAAATCTGTAAGGTAGGATTATTGACTTGTACTATATGAAAAAAATCGTTAAGCTATAGTATGCATGGAAGGGCACAAGAGCTGAAGCTCATCTCCCACTAGCAACCCCCCGCCCCCCCGTCCATCCATCCTCCTCCATCATCCCTCCCTCACAGTACCCTTCCTCTGCGCCTCGGTCAGGACTCGAGCGACTCGTGCCACTGGATCAGGAAACGCGAGTCTCTGAGTTCCGCTCCCCTCCACCGCCTGGTGCGGTGACCTGAGAGGTTACCGTGGATGTGTGTGCTGCTTGTGCACCTGCAAGACCGAGCTTCCAGTCCTAATCCTTCAGTCCTAGCCTTATAGTCCTAGCCCTGCGGACATGATCCTAGTCCTAGCCCTGCAGACGTGATCCTGATCCTAGCCCTGCAGACGTGCTCCTAGGCCTAATCCCTGCAAACGTGCTCCTAGTCCTATAGGCCTTGCCCTGCAGACGTGCTCTTAGTCCTGTTGGCCTTGTCCTGCAGACGTGCTCCTAGTCTTATAGGTCTTGTCCGGCAGACGTGTTCCTAGTCCTATAGGCCTTGCCCTGCAGACGTGCTCCTTGTCCTATAGGCCTAGCCCTGCAGACGTACTCCAAGTCCTGACCCTGCAAACCTGCTCCTAGTCCTAGCCCTGCAGGCATCCTCCTACTCCTAGCCCTGCAGGCATCCTCCTACTCCTAGCCCTGCAGACATGCTCCTAGTCCTAGCCCTGCAAACGTGTTTCTAGTCCTACAGATCTAGCCATGCAAACGTACTCCTACAGACCTAGTCCTACAAACGTAGTCCTACAGACGTAGCCCTACTGACAGCCCTTGATTCCTAAAGTCGGTACCTAACCAGCCGAGCAGGTACGTTGGATTGCGTGCGACAAGCAGTGACAGCTTGGTTGATCAGGCCCTGATCCACCGGGAGGCTTGGTCATGGAGAAAGCTGCGAGGGTGTTGACCCCCCGTAACCCTTCAGACATACAACTTCAAACTTGCCCTACACGGCCTACTCGCACAGGCTTTTTACCCTCTATTTCGAATCTAGGTACATTCGATTGTGAGCCTAGCATGTGACGCCTTCGAGAACTTAAGCCAGAATCCCGACCCTATACAACTGACTTCTATGGGACTTTTGCAATGAACGAGGTGAACAATAACACGTCATTGCTTCAGGGCATGACTTACTCTTTCCAGGAACATTCCCACCAAAGTGTCTCTTACATTGGTCAATCTGACCTGTCAGAACGTTCCTTGGGTTCAGCTTGTTTGGATATCAGTGATTATTAATTTACATGTTGTGCTCTCATCACCCCATGAACCTGAAGTTTTCTTAATTTGTATTAATTTGTAATGAAAATGTAAACATTGTATTTCAGACTGTTAGCCCCATGGATGTAATTTTTAATTGTATATCAGGAAATATTTGGATAAGACACCTACAAAAACTAATCGAATCTCAGTGGTCCACTTAATCAGCGATAAATGTCACTGTTGAATGGAAGAGTTGGTAATGACAGGTATACCTCTAACACACACATCTCATTCTGGATATTTACTTTTGTTCTCGCTAATGTTGCAATCCGGGTTTGATAAAGACTAGCCTAATGAGGCAGCAGAAATTTTGTTTCTATGATCTGAATATTCAGTAGCCAAATAGAGTCAAGTCATTGAAGAATCTTTTTTCTTTTTCTTTATATTGTTTTAGTAACCAGTGTTACAACCACATCACACCCATTACCATATGGGATTCACCTGATGAAGTGTTTTTACCTTGTACAGGCGGGAGCGTGGCATGGCAGGGAGGGAAAGGTGAGCTAATCCTTTCCTCTTCCTTGTTCCAAGCAAAGCTTTCCTAAACTATGTGCACTCGGTGATTTGGCTGTATATATTGAAGTCTTGGATGTAAGTGGAGCATGCACACTTGCCTCCTGGTTTAGGTTAGGAAAATCTTGAGAAAGCTTGACTCACTTGGCAGTAACAAACTCAATGCACTTTGATAACAAGACAGACAATACACCGCCATTTTTTGTGGTAACTCGTGGAAATGTTCGCATGAGCTTCTGCACTTACGAAACTGTCGTTTATATACTTGCCTTCTTATTTTTTCACTCTTGCCGAGCCAGAATAATGAAACGTATTATCATCTTTATAATCCAGACCACATGCCATGCGATGTAAGTATCCATAAACGGTTCTAGTGTCATGTGAATAAAACAAAACAATGGACGTATCTAATAGTCTGATCTGAAGAGAATCTACAGTTAGAGATTGAAATATACAGACCAACATATTCACCGTGTTTGTCTCCATGTGGGCTCATACGTCTTATATCCTTACGTATTTATTCTTGCCTAGTCTGAGAAATATTATGACTCAACCCACATCAAATAATGGTTGTGACCAATGTCAAATGGAAGTGAGGTAATTTTGTCAAGTCTCAGGATGGGTCACATATATGTGTATTAGCAAGTTCCTTCAGTGTGCGGTGCCTTGATGCTGGTAATGAAGGATTTTTAATGCAAGGAATTAAAGTTACCCTTCCGCCAACAATGTTATTAACCATAAATTTGAAAGTAAACTGCCTAGACCCGCACAGGTACATGTTCAGCCTGGGCATGACACGTCACACTCCAGGGAACAGTGGTAGCAAAAGTACCACAGTAGTAATTATCATCGTGATACCAAAATGGCATTACACAATGTATGTAATGCCTTAATCAGAAAATTTCGTTAGCACGCACATACACAAACAAAACAGGCCAAGTATCTAACGACATGTGCCTTTAGCTACCGGTAAGTAACTAACACTCGTACACTGAAAGCCGACGTGTGTAAGCAAGTCCAGTACGTGAGAGACAATCAGTCGTACGACGGTTGGACTTAAGAAGTACCGGAAATAAGTAGCACCCGTCAACTTGTAACGTTCTGCACAGCGGTTATGAAGATGATGACATATTGAAACCATCCTCGTGAAGAAAACTATAGTTTTCTAAATGCATTATTAATTTAATCTGTAGGAAAATGCCATGTCGTTGGAACAATGGTAGTAGTGTTTAACGAAGAAGCTGATGACAGTATTTAACATGTGCAAAATGCACGCGCTATAGCGCGTGCACTTTGCACATGTTAAATATCGTCATCAGCTTCTTCGTTAAACACTACTACCATTGTTCCAACGACATGGCATTTTCCTACAGATTAAATTAATACAAATCAACCTAATCTAACCAAAAATAAACATCAAAGTACATAACCGGGGAAGGTGTTATCTTAGTGTTACGTCAGCCAGGTAAACACTCCAGACACCAGTACTCTTAAAGCTTTAATACTAACGTTCATTACGGGGAAGGGCTGCCACAAATACTGGAACTATAGAGAAATAGCAACGAGGAAAGACTGCAAAAAGCTATATTTCACTTCACCGAATAAGCTTAATGTAAGAGGAAACATTAACAAAAAATTCTTCAGGGTATATGCATAGGGTAGGCGAGGACAGACATATAATGGAGTGTAGGATGTAGGGACACAGGTGGAAGACATTACCAAATGAGCCATAGAGGCGTGATGAAGCATGTTTTTTAACTGAGAAACAGTGGAACAAGTTGAATTAGCAAAGTGTAACTCCTCACGTTGAATACAAAATCAGTACTGCAATGTAATGATGTTAATTCACTGAAAGAAGTAAGCCCATGAGCTGGAGCACAGTAATAAGACTCAAATATTTACACAAACGTCCATAAAGTGAAATATTTGCAACAGTTTTTAAGTATCATTCTTAAGGAAAACCGCTTATTAGATCTTAATAAAAAAAATCGCAATTGACAGACTGAAATGAACGTCCATTTGTGCATTAGCTCTAAAATATTTACCTATGAATAAAATGAAAGAAAAAAGTTTGGCTCTGCTTTGCAATCATTTTTCATGCTTCTCTTTTTCTGGATTGACATGCAAATAAAATGCAATTAGTTTAAAATAAAAATACACTTATAATATTTAAACTAACCTTTTGATACTTAAGTTGAGGTTGACTGAAGAAGCCTGCTGAGCAGGCGAAACGTCTCGGCAATAAAGATAACCTACTGCACATGTATCTTCATGTACTCTCTTGATTCAAGGAGTTGAACCTTCCCTTCACACTTCGATCGAACCTTATTGCTTCACATTCCCCAGGCGATGTATAACCCCTACAGGTTTACGTCTTTGCACTGACTACAATACTACTACTATCATTGCTACTAGGCATTTGGATGGTAACCTGCTATCATTGTCACCAACAGCTTGGTGCGTCAACATCTGGTCCATGTGGAGAACCGACTCTTCGAGATGTTTGGGGACAAGGAGAAAAATACCATCGACATCAGTAGGTTTCTCCTGGTGAGTGAGTTGGGTATTTTCTTAAACGGTTCCATTATAACCTTTGTCCTGATTATCATTTATTTGCAAACTGAGATTTTTTCCCACTTTTGAAAACATATATTTGGTTTGGGTTATAAGTTTTCCGAACTTAGTACCTGCGTTTTATGACTCTCTCCTCTTAGTAACTTGACCAGAAATCTGCCAAAAGACAAATAAATCTCATTTATATTGAGAGTTGCACCTATTTATTCAACACAAGTTGTGCCATCATTAGTCTTGTCTTCGTCAGTTCAACAAAACTGCTTCCACAACCAAATAAAACAATTCAGTCAGCCTCATAGGTCCAAGACAGCAGCAGCAGACTCCGAACAATATACTTCCCACAACACTACGATAAAACTGCCGTTTTGCATCAGAACCGCACAAGTGACTGTCATGCACGTCACGTTGCTGCTAATGCAGCATGATGTGCTTGAAAAATAAAAGAATATTTAAATAAGATAAATATATGATTTAGATATATTATTAAAATTAAAGGAAGTGAGATTGAGACTTAGTAGTAAATATGCCCTAAATTTTTACTCAGTTATTGATGTGCAAGACAGGTATACAATACCAACAAGATGAAAGTTAAGACACTTGTGCAACATCTGGTTATCTTTATTGTAGACGTTTCGCCAACCAGTGGCTTTATCAATACAGATTCTTGGACATAAATAGAAAACAGAAGAACTATATACAAAAGATGAGGTAATCAGTCCCTCAGCCTTGGAGGTGGTGTTTACAACACCGTGGTTGTAGAGATTTCAGAATCTCTACAACCACGGTGCTGTAAACACCACCTCCAAGGCTGAGGGACTGATTACCTCATCTTTTGTATATAGTTCTTCTGTTTTCTATTTATGTCCAAGAATCTGTATTGATAAAGCCACTGGTTGGCGAAACGTCTACAATAAAGATAACCAGATGTTGCACAAGTGTCTTAACTTTCATCAGTTATTGATACATTTGAAAGAGAGTGGGGTAGACCTAAGGTAGGGCAAGCCTTTGAAAAGAGTTAGCTTCCTGCATAGCCCTGTTTAGGGCTGTGCAATGCATTGACATTAATTAATATCTAAAATTACTTTTACAAACTATCACGAACCCAGGTAGCAATTTCCTAGTCTCCATTCAAGGAATAATCAGACAAAGGCAAAGGCAAACATCGAGGAGGGTGGCGGCAGTTTTTCTTGACCCGTGTATTCCTTCACAAAGACGTGTACAGTATTTAGAGTTAAATCAACAGTATAACAATAAGCCAGAGAGCAAAGAGACTCACAACAGCAGGTTTTACACATCAAAGTAGACAAAAGAACTATGGTTGGGTGGGACCGGGAAGCCAGCTGAAAGCCTCGGTCAGATGACCAAAAGCTTCAACGTTGAGTTATCATATGACTAAGACCCGCGTCAGGACACACTTGTCCTGTATCCTAGTAGGATAATACCAGACCAGCTGGAGTGAGCATCTAAGCAACAGCCAGGTGGTCAAACACAACACGGCTGGTGCAGCAACCTTACGCTATTGGTTGACTGAACAGGACAATTAATAGAGCAGTGGGGCCCCTAAATAACCTGCCCCATTCTGAATTGCCAATTCTCTTGGTCGAGAGGGCATGCCAGTTGGTGTGTGATGACCATTAAATAAATTGTAATAAACTCTGCGCACACCACAACAATGGTAAATGTTAGTAGGCAGAGAGTAAGTCTAAAGTAACACTATAATCTTAATAAAGTCTGGGTATGTCACTGTTTATTCCCGCCTTATAGCTAATAGTTTTACTGCAAGAAAAAATAAAGTTAAAGATCCCCTTACTGTTTGTGATTTTTATGACATATTTTGAGATTCTTACTATACTGAAATGTGTTTGTTTTTTTGTTAGACACTCGTACCCTCAAGGGAAGTTCCTTGACGCTGGTGAGGGGCTCTTGATCTAGAGAATTGGTTCTGTGCTTCAGTTCCCTGCATTGAGCCTGAATGCCTTCCATCTCCCCCCCCCTCACAGGCGCTGTATAATCCCTACGGGTTTAGCGCTCCCCCATCGTGTTATTTTTCTCCATCGATCCATCCTTCTGTAAGTCCTGTTTTCTCCTGTCGTAGGGGCTGACGGCAACCGGGATGCGGCACTCTGATCCTCGCCTGAAAGAGATGAGAGAAAACCTAAAGAAGTTCCAGGATAAGATTGCAGCTTCAGATCATCATGCTCTCAATATCAGCTATGACACCTTCATGAGGTGAGACAGAGAATAAATTAGTGTCATATTAAGATATATTGTAATACAATAATCGGAAAAGAGATATATATTTTTGAAAACTGAGTATATTAAAGAGAGAGACTTGATAATACATCACTGCTCTGCATTACGGCTACACACTTGTCTTAATTACAATGAAATACTGTTTGTTATTAAATGGATAGGCTACAACACCGAAACACCCTGGACACCGCGGGACGCAGCGAGCGTAGCTGTGCTTCCACAACAAATAAATTATTATAGATAGGTAATTATGAGGACTTAAATTATACGAATGGGCCTTAAGAGCTGTTTTTAGCTTGATGATGGTGAGAGGAATGCACAAGAGAAGGATACAGCAGATGCTAACTATATTGGAAAACAATATAATCTTATTCTTAATATCTGTAATCCTCACAACCATTAAAACATTGAATGTGTTCACATTATGTTAATATGCTATGTCTAGTTTTAAGTAGTGTAAGCATTAGTATTATTAGTCTGGGTCAAAATGCTCAGGCATGTTAGTGGCTTTCTTTGTACTTAACTATTTTATAACGTAAATTACACATTGTATATTATGCAGAGAAACTTAAAATAGGAAAACACGAATAGGTGATATTTCTCTCACGCTAAGACTAAAGCCTCACCAAAATGTTGGTTATACGTTAATTGCTCCAGTCATGGTATTGTGACTCATTAATTAACGTGAGGACAACCCAGGTCATACCCACAGTCAAGAGTCTCTTGATTGACTGCTCTGCTTATCAAAGAACCAGTAGACATCCTTTACAATATTCTCTTCAACACGCTGATGCTCTCATTACCTGTTATTTTATCCTAATAACATTGAATGGGTCATCAACATGCTTAAGATAAGATTTTCTTCAGATTTTTAACCCCAGAGGCTTAGCCACCCAGGATAACCCAAGAAAGTCAGTGCGTCATCAAGGACTAACTTATTTCTATTGGGGTCCTCAATCTTGTCCCCCAGGCTGCGACCCACACCAGTCGACTAACGCCCAGGTACATATTTGCTGCTAGGTGAACATGACAACAGTGTTTAGTTAGTTTAATATGTTTATTATGCACCCCATACCCATCCTGTGGGCGGTAGTCAAAAGATTACAGAGGTACATAATTGGTCCAGGGACTGGACTCCAAAGTTTTGATAGCTGAGCAAGTTACAGAGGTAATGAACTCACAATTTACAAAGGTAATGAACTCACAATTTACAAAGGTAATGAACTCACAATTTACAAAGGTAATGAACTCCAGGTAAGTCTGGTCACAATCATGACAAGTTACAAAGGTATTTACAGATTACAGAGGTACGTAATGGGTCCAGGGACTGGGCCCCCAAAGTTTTGATAGCTGAACTAGGTACAAAGGTAATGAGCTCACAAGTTACAAAGGTAATGAATTCTGTAGAATGGTTACTTACGTTTATACTTTGGCTACAATCATGAACAAATTATAGAGTAATGAGCAATTCACACTTCCACACCCGGTCACAACTGTAATGAGTTATTGGTGCAAATATTGATTGTTGAGTCACACACACCACACACACACACACACACACACACACACACACACACACACACACACACACACACACACTTTAGTTTAATATCTTTATGCACCCCATACCCATCCTGTGGGCGGTAGTCAAAAGATTACAAAGGTACATAAATGACAACAGGTGTAAGGAAACACGTCGAAATGTTTCTACCCCGCCGGGAATCGAACCCAGACCCTCCGTGTGTGAAACGAGAGCTTTGGCCACCTGGGCACCAAGACTTATTCTGTCCTATCTACTTACGAATGTTTTAACAACAACTTTCATCCTAAGCTGACTTATTATATTAACTATGACTTCCTTCTGTCTTAAACTTACCTTCCGCAGTACTGCCATCAAATTTAAGAATTTCTTTGCCATGCAGCACTGAATAACCCACACTGGTCATTCGGTGATTTTTGTGAGTATAATAATAATAATAATAATAATAATAATAATAATATCCCTTAGAAAGCTACAAAAACATAAGTGTAACACCCGCACGCTCGCTCATACTATTCTCTCCCTCTCTCTTACACACACAAACAATACATCTTTCAATACCATAACTTAAGTGTCGCATTTTTTACAATTGCTTGAGCATTCTCTTCTTCGGTAGCATCATCTCTGATAACCTGGAGGTGATAGTGAAAGCGTTCTCCTCATCCTTCGTGATCCCGGATTTCCGCGGCTTCTGTCACCATATTGAAGAGATCTATGCCAAGTGCCTCACCAATACAGACGGAAAGGTAAGTGTCTTGTGCGGTCCATTTTGTGTTCATTTACTGTATAATCCTTGTGGGTTTAATAGTTATGGCTTATTATTTGTATTCATATAAAATATTCGTCGTGCGCCACGATGTGGTAGAGATATACAATGTTTGTTTCCACTGATAACTTCATAGTGTCATATACAAAAAAATAGATATAAATGCCTACATGATTTCCTGTCTTCACTCACATCTTCAGAACTCACATAAAAACATCCTTGCGTCAGATTCTTTTATTTTTTACTGTGGTATTTTTTAATAATTGTGTGACATGTTCTAAAGTGATTTCGTTGCAATAATGTCTTACATGAGTGAAAGATGCATCTAGCATGTTAGTATGGGTGTGTTACATTCGCCATAGGAGTGTTTTTTGTTGCGTATATGAAGTATTTGCACGACTCGTGCAAAAAAAATCCTCTTCAATGCGTTACTTTCTGTGCATAAAGGAAATGTTGGTGTGTTCTCAGGCGGCGCACTACATCCCACAGTTAGCTCGCGCTAACCCTGATCACTGGGCAGTATCAGTGTGCACTGTGGATGGTCAGAGGTACTCCACAGGGGACGTCAACGTTCCCTTCACTCTCCAGTCATGCAGGTGGGTCCTTCATCCTTCCCACCTTCATTGCCTCATATACTGCATATACTTCTTTATTTGTGATTATTAGAAAATCTAACATGGAAAATTTTGATATTAAAAACGAAATGAACTCGCATAACTATGCGGTACGCGCGCGCGTACACACACACACACACACACACACACACACACACACACACACACACACACACACACACACACACACACACACACACACAAAGGCGGTGGGGCCAGACATCTCTCTGTAGGTCCTTAGAGAGGGAGAAGAGATGCTGTGTGTGCCACTAACAAAAATCTTCAACACATCCATTGAAACTGGGCAACTACTTGAGGTATGGAAGATGGCAAATGTAGTCCCAATTTTTAAGAAACAAGGCAGACAAGAGGCATTAAACTAGACCTGTGTCACTGATGTGTATTGTATGCAAGGTCATGGTGAAGATTATCAGGAGCGGTGGAGCCCCTAGAAAGAGACAGGCTTATAAACGACAACCAGCACGGTTTCAGGGAAGGAAAATCCTGTGTCACAAACCTACTTGAGTTTTATGACAAGGTGACAGAAGTAAGACACGAGAGAGAGGGGTGGATAAACTGCATTTTCTTGGACTGCAAGAAGGCCTCGATGTCAGTATAGCTACTGAATTCCCTATACTTATACTTGTGTAGTATATTGTAGATTGTATCATCCATGTATATATTTAGGTTCCCTTTCAGTAGGCTCAGCGACTAGCATGTGTGACGTCACGTGATGCGCATGTGTGCGTGAGAATCGCTGTAACTCTCTCAGTTCTTTGCGCTTAGGTCTACGAACGGCCAACACAGGCAGTCTGGGCTCCCCTCTCACACTCTGCTAATATGTGTTACCATCCAACGACTGTGTTTAACTCCAACCATCACATCTCCACGAACCCTCCCGACATCGACACAGTTCCACACAAGAGGTTAATGCAAAAAGCTAGGGGGTCAGGCACACATAACAGGAAAGGCACTGCAATGGATCAGGACGTCATCACAGATACACCAGAGCACTGCTTACTCACGATGCATTACTCTAACAGAGTAAAGATCAAACCAGCGAGTGGCACAACCAATGAGTCGTCCAAACTAACACTTGCAGCTGCCGTTAGTGGCAGGCTGCAAGTCAAATGTAATACGATTTTATCGCTCAAGGAGGCCTTTGTTGTCGTCTGTACAGACTACACAGGCTGAGAAACTACTTACCACTACTGCTACTACCACTCTACGAGACCAGGGATTTCTTGTGTTGACTTCCCCAGCACTGAGGGCCAGGAGAACTGTGTTCCTCAAGCGACTCGACAACCTTATCACTGTACAGGCCACTGAAGAAATCCAATCATCTATCGAAGCAAAGAACCCTTGGGCCAAGGTGGACTTCATTACTAAAATACCCAATGCTTCATCCATGCTGAAGGTCACCTTCAGTGACGTCAACATGGCAGCGAGAGCTCTCGCTGAGGGCCTGGCTATTCACTACTTCCACATCAACCCAGCCTTCATCGAAGCAGAGAAATTCCAACATATCTCACAGTGCTATAATTGTTACTCATACTTACACACCACAAATGATTGTCCTACCAAGGACAAGAAGTTCTGCTCCACCTGTGGCCGTGAGGGTCATGACTTCAAGAATTGCACTACTGCTTCACCACCTAAATGCTTGAACTGCAAGAATGACCACCATACTCTTGCTGCCAGGCGCCCTACCAGAAGAGACATACTCAAGAAACAACAACAACAACAAAAGAAACCTAACCCACAAGCAACCACATATTCTGCTATCGCCAAGCTTCAAGCAGACACTACCAAGATACTACAAGCCACGCAAGCTGCTCCCACCACTTCCCTGCCAGCACCTACTGCCGACTCCACCAAGATTCTTTATTGCAGTATGTATGCTCATGTACAGAATGCAGCTGAGCCTGGTTCCTTCAACACCACCATCAATGAACTTTTCAAACTAAATAATATGCCTGGCCTCACATTCCCTGCATCACCACCTTCCACTGAGATCCTAAAATCTACTGCAAATATTACCAGCATCACCGCTGCTCCACCGCTGTCACAACCTCCACTAGACACAGAGATGACCAATCAGAGACCACTGAGACGTCGGCAAACCCCACCAATGAGAGTCCACTATCGCTTGCATCCACTGCTAGAGCAACTGACCAGTCGGAAATCTCGCCTTCACCAGTTCAGCCACCAGCCAAGAGAGCAAAAACACAAGAAAATGCGGATGCACCTCACGGTGCCACTGCCACTGACACTGCTGCACCACAACAAGTCCGATACCTGAAGGGTGTATACTTCTACACAACCAAGCAGTATAAGAACACAGTGCTGTCTTCAGAAATCCATCATCACCTCCAGGACGGAACAGTCAAGTATACCTACCACCAAACTGTTACATACACCACTGCAGACATGACCAGACTACTCACTGCCAACACCCAACACCTTGTGGAAGTCGAGTACACCTCAAAGAGGAAATTCAGGATGCTTCAGAATGGGGACCTTGAAGATGGTACCCTCTTCTAGCACGACTATCCATGACCATTCACCATGAAGATAAGTTTCCCCAGCACTTTGCTGTCCGCTAAAGCTGGGGTGTGGCTCCAATCGACCCTGTAACTGCTGCCTCTGCCCGACTGCGCTTCTCTTCGGGGAAGTCAGTGCAAGATAGAAGACGACGACACCCTCCAACCGGAGGGCCAAGAAAGAAGAAAGAAGATGATCGTCACCCCCCACCCGGGGGGCCACTGCCAGGTCACCATCTGGAGAAGACCTGGGCCGGAAGTACCGGCGAATCAACATGAATGAATGAATGAAAATGAACACCAACACACGACACTCCACACAGGAGAGCAGCGCTAGCACCATCGACACCATGCCTTGCCCTTCTAGGGCAGGGTTGGTGCCAGAGCCCGAGTTTGTGGCTCACAAGATGAGGGGGATACTTGTGCCTCCTCCCATGGGAGACCTAGGTCTCAGACACTCCCTAGACAGGGAGCCAGTGCCGGGCCACCACTTGGAAGGGCCCGGGCCGGGAGAATACCGGCGAATCTTTAACAACAATGGATCAGAGAATATCTGACAGGGAGTCAACAACGAGTCATGATACGTGACGAGGTGTCAGAGTGGGCGCCTGTGACGAGCCGGGTTCCACAGGGGTCAGTCCTAGGGCCTGAACTGTTCCTTGTATATGTGAATGACATAACGGAAGGGATAGACTCAGAAGTGTCCCAGTTTGCAGATGATGTGAAGTTAATGAGAAGAATTAAATCTGTCGAGGATCAGGCAGGACTACAAAGATACCTGGACAGGCTACAAGCCTGGTCCAGCAACTGGCTCCTTGAATTTAACCCCGCCAAATGCAGAGTCACGAAGATCGGGGAAGGGAAAAGATCGCACACAGAGTATAGTCTAGGTGGCCAAAGACTGCGAACCTCACTCGAGGAAAAAGATCTTGGGGTGAGTATAATACCAAGCACATCTCCTGAGTCGCACATCAGTCAGATAACTGCTGCAGCGTACGGGCGTCTGGCAAACCTAAGAATAGCGTTCCGATACTTCACTAAGGAATCGTTCAAGACTCTGTACACCATATACGTTAGGCCCATATTGGAGTATGCAGCACCAGTTTGGAATCCACACCTGGTCAAGTACATCAAGAAATTAGAGAAAGTGCAAAGGTTTGCAAGAAGATTGGAAGACAGGACTGCGAGGAATTGACAAGGTGGACAAAGGCAGGATGTTCCAGAGATGGGACACAGAAACAAGGGGTCACAATTGGAAGTTGAAGACTCCTATGAGTCAAAGGGATGTTTGAAAGTATTTCTTCAGTCATAGTCGTCAGGAAGTGGAATAGCCTAGAAAGTGACGTAGTGGAGGCGGGAACCATACATAGTTTTAAGACGAGATTTAATAAAGCTCAGGGAGCAGGGAGAGAGAGGACCCAATAGCAACCGGTGAAGAGGCGGGGCCAGGAGCTGACTCAACCCCTGCAACCACAAATAGGTGAGTACACACACACACACACACACACACACACACCTGTATTATCTGCTGAAGCTACTAATAATTGCATATTAATGTTTTCCTCTTAGCTCTGGTGAAACAACCTTTTTGATTACGATAAGTTTTTGTTGATAACTTTCTTCTTTATTATGTGCTTTGTAACATCCACTTTTCGTGACACATGAATTTATATATATTAATGTCTTGCCGAATAGGTCAAATTTGCTATTTTCTCTTAAATAGCAACATTTTTCTTGCCGAATAAAAGAAGCGAAATTTTGTATATGCAATAATTTGGCAAAAATTATTCTGAACCTAACTAAAAAAATATATTTTATTGTGTTTGTTTAATATTAAATTATTGTAGACTTATCTAAAATATCTTTGGTTGGATTAGGCTAAATTAAATTACGCTTGTTATCATAGGGTTAGGTAAGTTTTCTAAAGTTCTTTTGGTACAAAATTGTTAATTTTTACATTAACATAAATGAAAAAACAATATATCTTCAAAAGTATAAGAGAAAATTTTAGAAATGACTTAATTTTAAGTGAGTTCTTGCTAACTGACCAATTTTTACCTATTTGGCATTATTTAATATATAGTATATATATATATATATATATATATATATATATATATATATATATATATATATATATATATATATATATATACACAAGGAATTCGCAAGAGCAGGCAAAATATACACAAACACTGATCTCTGGCTGAAGGAGACTCGAACCTACGAACCTTGGAACAAGGTAAGCAGTGCTATACCAATCTCACCACACTGGACAATACCTTGGCGTACCTTGTTCCAAGGTTCGTAGGTTCGAGTCTCCTTCAGCCAGAGATCAGTGTTTGTGTATATTTCGCCTGCTTTTGCGAATTCCTTGCATTATTAAAATCTCTAGTGAGGCTGATGCATGCAGGGGATGAGATGAAAAGCTGTAAGCCT